CAACATGGAAACAACACATGGTCCAATAAAAACCTAAAACGTGCAAGAACCAGAGATGGTCATGTTGTGCAATAAGAAGGTGACACGTACCCGAACCATCTCCGATGCAATCGGCTATAGCATGTACATGTGGGCTATAACATGTACACGTGGAAAGCGTCGCCAACGGAAGCGCCCACCAGCGTGGCATGCCAAAACAGTTCTATGACGATCTGTTTTTCATCACAGATCAAGGCACTTCTATGACGATTTTGTCAGATTCGTCATAGATATGAAAGAGTGACGCGACTTCTATGATGAACCGGTTTTTGTCATAAATTCATCATAAAACTGAAATTATGATGAATTTGGCTTCTTTAGTGACGAAATATATTTCTAGTAGTGTAAGTTATGTCCTAACTAACGTTGCAAAGACGTATAGGACGAGCATGCATCATATCCTCCATATAAGGATAAAATGATTTAGATTCCCCTTTTCTTCCGGGACAACTATTCTGCCTTATAGCTATTCTATTCCAATGAATCTTGTCATGTACCAGACTTTTGCCAATTACCATATCTTAATGATCTTTGGTCCATAAGTTTTTAATCCTTGAGAACTTTTGGATGCACCTTATTTACTATGCCAACTCAGTAAGAAAACCTGGAACTAATCCTTGGCTTCTCAACCTATACATGTGATGTATCTTGGTTTGTTCTACCCTGACACATGCTATTCCCTTGACTTTGATGGCTGACATGTGTTGGTTTAGAGTTAGTACAATTGTACCCTATGGTCGTACCATGACCAGTGACAATGGTACAACGTTGAAACCTAGAATCTCCTGTGGATAGCTACCATAAGGAAATACAGGGCACTCGCTGTTATCCAAGAAATTAATGTGTTTTCTCCCTCCTTTGAACCACTTCTGGAATTCACATCCATGTTTCTCCTAAATGGTACTAATCCCTTGCTAAATTACAACATTCCTTCGATCTTGGTTGTAAATTCTGAACCAACCATTGCTGTTTTATGAACTTCTTACAAATTAATATACTTGACACATTTTCTTTTCCATTACTTAACTCAAGTCTTTTATCACTTCATAATCTCGGGAAGAGATTTCTTTAATGGGGGATGATTGTAACATCCTAGATGTTAAAATCCAAATAAAATTTTGATCATGAGCATCATCAAGCATAATCAGTATCTTGTCATAAATGCACTCCATGTTTCAAATATAGCAATTATATGTTTCATATATGATGTTTCATATGTTGCATAAAATGTTAACAACAATATCAATTAAGGTTCTTTGTGATTTTATATATGTGAATTTGCTTAAATAAATAAAATTTTACTAAAATAAACTTTGTAGTTTGAAGTGTGCTCTTTAATATAAAATAAAAGTTGGTTTGAGTTTTGAAGTCAAACATGTTTAATTTGGAGCCCAAATATTGGATTTAAGGTGGATTTTCTAACTAAGCCATTTTTTCCTAAGTCCTTGAAAATCAGTTTTTAAGTTCAATTTTTGGGTATTTATTAAATTAATTTTCATGAATAAAATTGGTACAACTTTTGTTTCATTGTTTGATCCTATACTTGAGCTTTGATATTGTGCTATTAGTTGTGATGTTTGATTATTGGTTGCTCTTAATTTAATTCCCAAAATTTGCTCACCAAAATAAATTTCAAAACCCTAACTGAACCCAGTTTTTCAGTTTTGATGTAGACTGTAAGCAATGTTGGAGCCCTCACCAAGTTGAATAACTTTGGTTTTTGGAGTTCACCGAGTTGCTGTTTGGATTCAAGAGAAAATCGAAGAGGAAGTGGCACTGTCAGGCGGCTGCAGTGCCATCGCCGGCAGCAAGCAGTCAGCCTGCTCACCGATGGCCGCCGCCTTCGCTCACCGCTCTTGTGCGCGCAACGCGTGGCTACTTTCGTGGACGACCTCAAGCTGCTGTTGGCACAACAAGAAGCTTCGTCCGCATCCATATAACGCGATCCGCCGGCCGTTTTCTCCTTCCTTCCTTTCCCGTTCCGCTGCCAGGCCACTCCCCTCACTGGTGAAATTCATCACCGTTGCTCGCTCTCACTCCAATTACTTCCGCAGAAAAGCTCACATCATCGTTGCGCACCCGCTGAGCCCGTTCACGCCATCCATCTCGGCCGGAACTGACCGGAGGCCACCTTCTTCTTCCTCGCCGTCCGCAGCGCCGCTGCGTGCACCCTCTCCGTGGCCAGCTCACTCTAGAGAAGCTTCTGTCCCCACTCTTGTTGTTTTGTTCTCCTTGTGACTCCGTGATGCTCACCGGCTCACCCATTTTCGTAGACGAGCTCCCTCTGAGTCGAAACGCCGCCGTGACGCCGGTTCACGCCGCCGCACTCACCCTTCCCACCGACAGCGATCTCCACTCCACCTCCGCTTCACCTGAGTCATCGAGGATGTTCGAGGTGAGCATCCTGAGGCCACCCCGAGCCCTAGCTAGGCCAGCCAACCGTCGAAGCCGCAAACCCGCCGCCGCGCTGCCGTGCCACCATAGCCGCGGTAGTGCTCGCTGCAAGCCCTTTAGCGTTCAACCGATAGGAGGGATGTGTGCGTGGGTTGATGGGGAGCACACCGGTGTAGTCGTCGTTGCCGGAGACCTCACCGGCGGTGAGCTCCGCCACGTACCTGCCGGCGCGGTCGCAGTCAAGGCCGAGCAGGGTAGGTTTGACCACAGGTCCCGCGCGTCAGTGAGAGTGGGTCACGGGGAGTGAGTGAGAAAAGTTTTCAACTGGTTTTCGATTTTTCAGAAAATATAAACATGGGATGAACTTTAGAAATTCATAACTAATTATTGGAGTGTGATAAAAATGTGAAATTTGTGTAGCCTTATTATGATATGCTCTATCCATGAAAAATATTAGTTGGTCATAATAAGTAATTTTGGTATGCTTAAAATTTCCATCTTCGCTTGTTTTCCGCGCACTGGAGGTTAGAGAGTCTTCTAATCTTTTCTTTGCGTGTGTATGGACGCGCACGCGTGTATACGTGTGGTACGAGTATGGAGCGCATGGATTGTGTGCGTCCAAGTTATACCCGATAAAAAAAATCAATCTCCTCAGTCGGCACACGAAAGCTTCCTGCCAAATCAAACTTGTGCACTCTCCACGATGCTCGATGCAATCCAAATTGAATCCACCAATGCCTAAATCAAACACAGGTATGGTAATGGTAAAGTTAGCTTGGCCTATGGATAAGCATATATGTGCTTGATGAAGATATGAAATGGCTACAAAGATGTTGTTTAGTATGGATCACACTAGATGTCGTGAACATACAAAGCATGGTGTTCCTTCAAAAAAACATACCAAGCATGGTAAACAAGTGACATGGCATAAGTACTTACTGTTAACCATGCTTTGTGGTAAACAAGTGACATGTTAAACTTGGTATAAAAACATTTCCACCACCAACTCCCCCGCTCGCTTTGTGGCGCTTTGGCCTCTTCCTCTTGGGCAGTGGTCAGTGTCTCTGCTTCTGGGCCCGGCAGCTAACCACTGCCCTTCACCGTCACCGATGCCGGCGGCTTTTTTTTTTTTTTACTGGTACTTCACCGGCAGGAGTAACAATGGAGGACGGATGCCCGTGCCCGTGATTTAATTCGCTCCGAGCCGAGGCGGCCAGCGCTGGTGTCGCCCACCGGTCACTGTCCAGGACCCATTAATGTCCTCCTGCAGGACAGCAGGAGCAGGACCGCTGCTGCTTGTTGCCTTTGCCTGTGTTGGGCGGGGGGAGTGTGGCTGCGTAGGTGAGAGATCAATCCCGTGTGCACTGGGGCGCTCTCGCTCCTCCACTCCTCCCGCTGCTGTGTCCATTCTTGCCTGCCCCGGCTGCTTGCTAGGTGTTGAGGAAGAATGGGGATTGGGGGAGGGGGTTCTTAGATGCATTCGCGGCGTTCAGGCTATGAACTGAGCTGAGCAGCTTCTTGCGATTTAACTCAGCTCTGTAGTTGTTCTTGCTCCTGCGTTCCCTGCATTTTAGGTCAGAAGGGCACAATTTCTTGCTGCATTTTAATTATGAATGTCGTTTCTCCTCTGCGCTAATTTGGTTCCACATGACTGCGTGCCTTCTCTGCTCTGTATGTACTACGGTGTGATTCTGTTTGCAGACACACACTCTTTTTTTTTTCTTTCTTTCTAATTTCCCCTCTTTTTCTCCGACTTCTTTTTAAGTTCGTATGCTCTGAGAGTGAGTTGTTTCCTCGCTGCAAATCTGAGTTGCTTCCGGTTCTGGCACTCCTAGTTTGCTAAACTCTCATTTTTCCCTTCAGCCGCATTTCTTCTTTCACCTTAGCGGGATTCGTTTTGAAGCCTGCTGCGTTTCATGGTAGGTTTTCGCTGCAATTCTTGCTTGCAAGCTCAGATTTGTTTCTTATTTGTTGCCAATTTTTTAACAAGTCCCTCTCATGGGTTCTTGCAAACCGCAGGTTCCGAACTTCAAATTTGTATTTGTGCCACCAAGGTTCCCAGTACAATCTGACCAGCCAGGCAGCCAAACTAGTCTGTCATTTTCTTTGCCGGGTTCCCACAGATTAGGCTACATGTCGACAACCAAAATGATTTTTTATTTAAACAAAAGGAACCCAATTACTGTTGCCTTGTTTCATCCTACGTTCGATCTGAAGCACTGGTTCTTCCGTCCAGCATCCGATGTGGTTTTTCCAATGATAAGACAAGGACATGAGTCAGTTTACTGACATGTTTGCCTTGTACTTCTATTGTTACTATACGTTTTGCTACATCCAAATTGGGCTGAAAATTGTAATCTTCAGCAGGAAACTGATATTTGGGAGCAAACAAGGCAGGGTTTCTCTCCGAGGAAGCATTGTTCAACTACAGTGCTCCACTTCGGCCTTCCTGATTTCTTTGTTTTGCGAGTCCTCGTTGAAATTCTGCCCATTTTGGTGGCTTGGAAGTGATAAAGTTTAGCAAGACACTAAGCCAATTGACAAAGGACAGTGCTAACTGAGCTCCAATGGCTTGGCACCTTAGTATCCTTGTCATGGTCACTACCTGTTTGATTTTATTCTCAATAGGCGAGCAATCTTCACAGAGCGAGCTGCTGCAGCAGCTCAGGAAGCAGCTGGAGTACCCCAGGCAGCTGGATGCTTGGGGCAGCCCAAGCAGCGATCCCTGCTACACTAAACCCACTGCAGTGCTTGCGGTCACCTGTGAGGGAAATGCCATCAGAGAGCTTAAGATCATCGGTGACAGGATCACCAAGCCACCAAAGTTCAGTGGCTTTTCTGTTCCTAATGTCACCCTCTCAGAAGCCTTTGTTCTTGATTCGTTTGCTACTACACTGACAAGGCTAACTACCCTAAGAGTTGTCATCCTGGTGTCTTTGGGCCTATGGGGCCCCCTCCCAGATAAGATTCACCGTTTATCTTCACTTGAAGTGCTTGATTTGAGCTCCAATTTTCTCTATGGATCGATCCCTCCCAAGCTGTCAGTCATGTCGAAGCTCCATACTTTGACACTGGATGGTAACTACTTCAATGGAAGTGTGCCCGACTGGCTTGACTCATTCTCGAACCTCACTGTTCTTCGGTTGCAGAGTAACCAGCTGAAGGGGTCCATACCGGCATCAATTGGCAAAGCTGCCATGCTTACAGAGCTCGCGCTTGCTGGCAATAGCATCTCGGGGGATATTCCAAATTTAGGCAGCATAAATAAGCTTGAGATGCTGGATTTAAGGGACAACGAGTTGGATGGAGAGCTTCCTGAGATGCCTACATCAGTGGTAACAATCTTACTTAGCAAAAATTCACTGAAGGGTGAAATTCCTGAGCAGTTTGGTCAGTTGAACCGGCTTCAGCACCTTGATGTCTCATTCAACTTCCTTGTGGGGAGTCCTCCTGCAGAGCTGTTTGCTCTCCCTAACATCAGTTATCTGAATTTGGCGGCAAATATGCTTAGTGGTTCACTCTTAAGTAGTTTAACATGCAGCAGCACCCTGGGCTTTGTGGATTTGTCCACTAACCGACTCACAGGTGATCTGCCCAGCTGTCTGAATGGTAATTTGAATAACAAGGTTGTTAAGTTTGATGGGAATTGCTTTAGTGTTGACCCTGCCCACCAGCATGAAGCTAAATATTGCCAGCAATCTCATAAGGGGAAAGGATCAAACAAGGATGTTGGACTTGTAGTCACTGTTGTTGGCATATTGTTTGTTATGCTTGTGCTTAGTCTGTTGTTAATGGCTTCCAACAAAAGAAGCTGTAAGAAAGTTCTGGCAGAAAAACAGTTCCAGCAAAAGCATACACAAGATAATTCGATTTCAGGAATGTCCTCTGAACTGCTGGTGAATGCAAGTAAGAGTTCTCAATCATTTATTGCATAAATATGTGTGAGCTTCTTTAACTTCTTTGGATCCTCCTTTCATGAGTAATTAAATTTTGTGACAGCGAACTTGTATCTGTTTTAAAAAAAAAAGATGTGGAATTAGATAATCCATCACTCCCAAGTTAACTTATGTCTGAATCAGCAAATGCAGCCTAGCTTTGGTGGTCCACATTGTTACAGTGCATCCTCAGTCTTGCCATACCATAGAAATGCTCTGTAATGATGTGTATGTGAATGTGCTTTGGGTGACAGTAATGGTAATCTTAAAAATTGACGGCCTGCCATTTTTTTGTATGCATGAATCCAAAAAAACAAACCTTGGCTTGTGGGGAAAGACCGCTCCCACAGCATTGCATTAAGAAGGAACTACTCGTGCAGGCTGAGAAACACCCCAAAGGACGGCTGCCCTAGATGTGCTACCGAGCACCTAGGACACATGTCTGTGGCCATGTGCATCACGTGGTATAACTCAGGAACATAGCCGACGATGGGTGTCTTTTTTAACCTAGACCTATTTGAATTCGCTCCCATGGGAAGTAAAACCCCGGACTTGAGGTGCTGCTAAGGCTCCTGTGACCATTAGGGACCCGTTTGCTTATGCATGAATCCTAACATGTCTTAATTATAAATATTTATATCAGATGCTTTACACCTGTTTTTCTTGTCAATTCAAATAATTTCTCCCTTCATTGCAGGGTGCATATCTCAAGCTGTCAAGTTAGGAACACAAATGCAGCCATCACATCGCGTATTTTCTTTAGAAGAACTCAAGGAAGCAACAAAGACCTTTGAACAGTCAGCATTTTTAGGCGAGGGAGCAATTGGAAAGGTTTGTTAGTGTTTTTGTATTATTTACATTTTGCTTTACCCTAAGCATAACATGATTAGCAAATGAACCAAAGTAGAATATTTCAATTGCTCTAGGTTACACTTGTACCAATAGCAGTTCTTCTAGCCTAATTCGATTGGTCACAACTTTTCATATTTTCAGCTGTACAAGGGCAAAGTAGAGAATGGGACCCTGATTGCCATAAGATGTTTGGCATTGCACCAGCGACATTCGATTAGGAATCTAAAGCTTCGTTTAGATCTCCTTGCAAAGCTTCGCCATCCAAATCTGGTTTGCCTATTGGGGCACTGCATTGACAGCGCAGTTGATGAATCAACTGTAAAGAGGGTTTTCCTTGTATATGAATATGTGCCTGGTGGAACTCTTTCTTCTTATCTTTCTGGTAATGACCTGAATTTGACTATGAAGTCAAATTAAATGAACAACATAAATTTTCGGATCCCATTTATTATTTATGTTTACACTTTCTTTTTGGCAGCCTCTAGCCCAGAGAAGACTCTGAAATGGTGTGATAGGCTGCAGGTGCTGATTGCCATTGCTAAGGCTGTTCATTTCCTACATACAGGAATAATTCCTGGTTCCTTATCCAATCGGCTAAAATCTTCCAGTATTTTGGTTGACGACCACCATATGGCAAAGTTGAGCGACTTTGGATTATCCATAATCACAGAGGAGATATACAAACATGAGGTGGGCTTGTCATTCTGAAAGTATTATCCCTAAGCAGCTTAAAGGTCAGACAATGCTGCTTTATTTTAACATAAATTACTTACTGTGTTCAGGTAATAGGGCAAGAGAAAAAATACTTGCAAAATGATACTACGGAAATGTAAGTACCTGCTAAACAAATTGTATCTTTGTTTAATTTGAGATGCATAGTCCCAGGGCAAGTTTGATTTCACATGCATGCGAACAGGCCTCTAGCTGAGTTGGCTAGGTGGTTCTAGTAGCACTCCTCGGGTCCTGTGTTCGATTCCCTGTGGGAGCCGACCTGCGTGAGGTCTTTCCTATAACATTGCTCGGGGGCTATGTTACCCATGCAGGTCTAGTTTTTTATTTCACATGCACAGTTTGGTAATAACATTTAGAGGAGTTCAGCACACCAAGTGCATTGAAATAGAAAAAAAGGAATTCTGGTTCTAAAATTCTGGTGTGACATAATTAGTTGACCCATATAACATATGTGTTATAGGGAAAATTTGGAGGACGATGTATGCTCTTTCGGCTTTATTCTACTGGAAGTACTTATGGGCCCAAAATTACATGACAAAGGTGACCCTTTCATTTTGAAAGATCTGGTATGTTGCCCTACATATTTATACTACAAATTTTATAGATACTGGATAGAGATTGTTCGATGCTGAGTAGTTTAGTTAATCTCACGAGGATTTTAGGATGTTTAAAACACTTAAAATACCTTCTGTCTTGGTTGGGATTTGACTCCATTCTTCATCATACTTTCCCCAGTGTTTGTGATTTGATGCAGCACATATGCAAAATACCTGTAAACTATCTCGTATTTGGTTTCACCATTTTCCAAAAAGGGCCATGCATCTTACTTTTTGTTTGAACGAAGTGGCCATGCATCTTACTTAATTAACTGGAATAGTTATCTGTGATCTAAGCTTGACCTTCATCCCTTTGCGAAGTCTGATATGATCATTGTTCTGACCATACTTACAGATACATTTACTGCCTGCGGGAGAGAAAAACAAAGAGGATCAAAACAATCTAACTTTTGCCTGTATCTGCAGGTTGCGTCAATGTCAACTTTGGAAGAGCGCGATCAAGCTGTGGATCCTGTCATTATTGTCACTTCTTCACAGGATTCCTTATCCATTGTGGTTTCAATTATGATAAAATGCCTGTCCGTCGAATGCTCGGCCCGACCTTCCATCGAAGAAGTTCTGTGGAACCTGCAATATGCTGCCCAGGTCCAGACAGCGGCAGACGGCGACCAACGATCAGAAGTTTCCTCACAAGCTAGTTAGCATGGAAACTGGAAATAGCTCGAAACTGTAATCTAGACCGGATCTAAGATGATAGGAAGCAAGATTCGTGTTTATATATGATCTCGATTTGAGTACAGGGGATGACCGGATGAGTGAGCTCTGCCTGTTTGTTTTTCTTAGAGCCTGATATCTCTGATCATTAGAGCCTGTTTGTTTTTCTTATCAGAGGTGCTACCAAATAGCCAGGCTAACTTTTGGCATGGCTAAATCTCGACCACCAAATTAGTGGCCCTCAATATAGTCAACTTTAGCCACCTAATAAAGAACAAAGGATATAAGCAAATGGTAGCTAAAATTAATCATAAGTGTCAAATTTTAATTTCGCTATTTTTAATATACTAGTATTTGGCATTTTGGCCACAATCAAACACACATTAATCCAAAGCAAATATGCATTTATTTATGTCGTTCTCTCCCGCGTCCCATTGGATTCCTTGGTGTGGGACCTCCTGCTCGGACAGTGAGGCTGTGAGGGTAATTGCCCAGTGGTAAAGTCTTTGGAAGCTACAGCTTCAGTTTGGGGTAGTTGCGGGTGGCCTCAAAACCCAGTCCCGGGTCTTCTCTCTCTCGTTGTCTTCCCATGGATTTGGATTTGCTCAAGGTCATGATCACATCATTTTGCTAATCAGGTCATCATATTGACACTGAGACGCAGACGTATGACTGTACGCGAATAAAAGATAATGTAAATGACCTTGAGGAGATGACGAAATGATGCAAAGGTAAACTATTGTTACACGGGCATGGTTGGTGGCGAGTACAGACAACAAGGCAAAGCTAAGCTCAAAGGGACGTTGATAGAGAAAGAAAGGCTGCATCAAAAGGCCCGCGTTTGGCGTGGCAATGTGTCCAAGAAAGAGCATACAATCCTTTTTTTTTTTTGAACGAAAAAAGAACATACAATCCAGACAGGGTATTTTTATCGAAAAAAATGAAAAAAAAAATCTACAAAGGGTAGTTTCTGCGTTGATTCATTTCCCACATATGGGGCCTCCTGTGAGTACTCGGTCCTTGACCTGGCCAAAGTCGTCCTCCGCGTAGTGCAAGAAAACAAGAAGACTTCAAGTCTTCTGTAGTTTGCCTCCTTGTCCTTGCTTGCATCACTGGACCTCTGTCTATGTCAACTTTGCGATGAACTAGCTCACCAGAGGCAACCGGCTTCCCAACCCAAGTGCTGTCGAGGTTAGATTCTCACCTGCTGCTGTCTTCCAGCATCATCTTCGAGTGGTTAGCTTCCCCGAGTCTTTCCTTCTGAGATTTGTCTCAGATTTGCTTCTGCATCTTAACACCATTCACATCCACCTTTTTCTGCAGGGTTAGATCAGACTGTTGGACTTCCAGTGTCAGGCTTCTTGTTGTTGCGCACTTCTCAATTTCCAATCCCCAGCGGCCAGCAGGTATCATCAGAACCAAAATGTTTCCATCTTTATTGATACCCTTCTCTTTGCTAGGACATATAATGAATTGCCATGTTCATCAAATTTAATCAAGCGAATTTTCTTCTCACATATCAGAATTCGAGATTTTGTGGATTTTTTTTACCTCTTTGCAGTGTTACTATATTATTATCCCCCCTGCTTGTAGGCAGACATACCAAATCTGCAAATAGGCATGAGCCAACACTCCCAGATTTTGCAAAAAAGAAAAAGAAAAAGAAAACAACCGATAGCTCAATAGATTACAAGTATAGCTCACCAAAGCATCAGTTGCATCTTTTTTTTTTGAAGTCAAATATCCATTAATCACTTTGTCGAGCCAACTCACTGGACACTAGAACAGCAACGTATTCAGGTAAATGGTCCTGCCAGAGAACAGATCCACAACAACAACAACAACAACAACAACAACAAAGCCTTTTAGTCCCAAACAAGTTGGGGTAGGCTAGAGTTGAAACCCAACAGAAGCAATCAAGGTTCAGGCACGTGAATAGCTATCTTCCAAGCACTCCTATCTAAGGCTAAGTCTTTGGGTATATTCCATCCTTTCAAGTCTCCTTTTATTGCCTCTACCCAAATCAACTTCGGTCTTCCTCTGCCTCTCTTCACGTTACTATCCTGGCTTAGGATTCCACTACGCACCGGTGCCTCTAGGGGTCTCCGTTGCACAGATCCATTATTACAATTTAGACCAATTGCTGCTAATGTATGAGCTACTGAATTACAAGCCCTAGGGCAATGAGAAACAGAGCTTCGAACAAAATCATACATCATTTTTGCTCTTATTTCTCTAAACATAGTGCCTAAAAAAGATCTATCAAAATCTGTTCCGTTTCAGATTGCATCTTTGGTAACAAACAGTATGTCAGAACTTCTGGGCTCGAATGTATTTCCAGTTGGTCATGTCATTAAACAAATCTACCCTGAATATACAATGCAAGTATATCACAAAAGCACACCAATCCTTTTTTAGACAACGGAAGAAAGTTTTAGCTTTATCCTCTTCAAGAGGAATCAGTCCACCATTATTACAAGTGTAGCTCTCGCTGCCAGTAGAACCATTAGGAATACTAACCTCTTATTACAAAGGGGCTCCGACATAAGGAACAGCCCCCAAGGGCCAGTCTGCATGAACATGACCCATATGTAAGTATATCACAAAAGCATACTAATGCTTTTACAGCCCTTGGGAATACTGTATTCTTAAAAAACAAAGGGGCTCCAACCTAACAAACAGCCCGAAGAGCCAGTGTGATTGACACATATGGGAAACACACTTGCAAGTTGTAACACAATAAGTTGGTATTTGGTTTCAGAAATGTGACAGTTCATCATTTTCACACTCGTTACTCCTTACCCTTTTTGTTTGTTCCGTGAAATAAAATCAGTGAAGGGCAGGCCTGGTGCAAGCGGTAGAGTCTTACCGCCTGTCCCGGGTTCAAGTCGCGGTCTCCTCGCATTGCACAGGCGAGGGTAAGGCTTGCCACTGACACCCTTCCTCAGACCCCGCACAGAGCGGGAGCTCTCCGCACTGGGTACGCCCTTTTTTTCATGAAATAAAATCAGTGGATCCATCACTACCTTATCCCCTCACTGTATAATATTAGTATAAGCATGAGAGACGGAGTATTGTAACCAAAATTCATTAGATGAACACAAAATATACCACCCTAAGCAGTGGTTTCTCAAATCAAACACCTAAGCGACTTATTAAAAAACTATAAAGTACAAAAAGAAAATGTTCAAGTTACTCCCTCCAAGTTTTTCCTATGTCCAGATAACCCCTAAACTAAGGGCTTGTTTGGATGGACTATGACTAAGAACTAATCCTATTAGCTCCTATAAGTGGACTAGTGAACTAACAACTAGTCCATGACTAGTGGACTAACAATTAGTCCGCCTGTTTGGATGCTTAGGGACTAAAAATTACTCAACTTGTTGTTAGTTCTATGGATCCAAACAGGGCCTAAAGTTTGGTTCTTCACAAAATGTACAAAGAGTACATTACACAAGCAGGATGCAAACATACAAGGAAGAACTAAAACCCTAGCTACCCATTCTCTCCCACTAAGTCACACAACTCTCCCCTTTTTGGTATTTAAGCACCCAAAAAGATGAGACACCAAGCATCGAAGGGTCGACTGAGGCGGTGCAACTGTCGAGTCTACACTGAGGGTCATGATGAACAGCGAGGCATCGGTCTCGTCATCTTTGTGTAGCTGATCAAGAGCCTTGTCGATAGGAGTGCCAACAGATGTACTCTGACTCTGAATGCATTATGTGGTGTCTGTCTCTGTCATAGTCTCTCGCACTGTCTCTGTGGTGACAGTGGTATCCTTTGTAGAGACACTAACATGCCTGGAGCAGTAGAGGTACCAGCTTGTATCCATAGCCTGACTTACGGTCTCTAAAGAGGAAACAGCTGTAGTACCATGAGACGGAGGAGTCTCCAACAACTCGTTCATAGGAACAGAACCAACAATCCTCTGAGTCGCTGAAGATGCCAAGGTAACAAATTGATGACCAATTGACTCAAATTGTAGACTAACCGATACAAAGGGAGTGCACCAAACGGGGAGTCTGCAATCCTGAAGAAACTAGCATCCCCTAAGAAAACACTGACACTGGTAGCACCTGCTAAAATCTCTGCTGCTGAAAGAAAGCTCTCTGACTAGGTTCAATCATCAGTGATGGCTGAACAACTAGTGGATATGAAACTGGAGACCTTAGCTGCGGAGGGGCAAGTCCTGTCTGCTCCTCCCTCATTTCATCTGCTCAAGAAGGGATTTAGTCCTCGAATCAATGATGTCAGAGCCTGCTTATGTCTCTCAGCTCATAGCTGCTGAGCCTCAAACCTGTCAGCCTGCAGCCTGCTCTTGGTGCATCTGTATAAGCTATAAGCTAGGCCTGCATGTCAAGCATCTGTCGTTATATCTCAACAAAAGAATATGGAACAGCTGGAGTAGCAGTCGACTGGCTGGTGGTGATAGGCAACAAAGTATCTTCTCTAGCAACACCAGATCCCCTAGCCTCATCATAATGGGCTGGCCTTGGATACGGTGATGAAGGTAACACCTAACATAGTCCTCATCATCCTCATCACTGGCAAGTGATCCATATAGCCCAGTAAGACTAGCACTAGCCTCAGCCGCTCTCAAAGCAAGATCCTCCACGTCGGCCTAAGCTAACTCCTCTGCCAGCTGCCTCTGAAGAGCTCTCAGGGCACGGCCTCCATGGTGTTTGTCAGTAGCCACTGGGGCTTGGCCTCTAAGGTCTCCATGTGCTGTGGGAAGCCAATGCATTGAGCCAAAATAAAACAAATAAGGTGAGCATATGGCATTCGGTGACGACCCAACCCATCAGCCATCCCCTCCTCCCACTCACAATGAAGCATGTCCACAATGTCTATGCCCCATTACCAATGATAGCAACCACTGCTGAACAACTGTAACGACCTCACCATAACGTCATAGACTGCTCTAGGAAGCAAAGATTTCTTGAACACAAGAAGGGCAGCTTCTACTAGTGTCAACTCTGTTGGAATCCTCAAAGAATTAGCATTAAACGACTACTTGAACAACACAGAAATAGTCTCAGCTAGAGGAACTATATCGCCTCCCAAAGCACGACGAGGTGCATAGGCACTAGAGTAACAATGAGTGTCACTAGAGGAACCCCCAGAGCAATGGCAATCTCCTGCAGGGTCAACCTGTATGAATCCCCACTGAACATGAACTAAATGAACTCTCAATCTCGTGGATCCAAACATTAGCAAACAAGATCCTAACCCAATCAGTAATATACAACCAACTGTCTAATGACTACTTGTTAAGAAAGCCTCATAGTGCTTCACACTAAACGTGGTATCAATCAGTTCACCACTGCTGCACTTTGCTAGCATCCATGCCTACCAAGATGATATGCCAGTGTGCCCCACATGACACACTATCAAAGCAATGAAGCAGACAAAGTTTGAACTATTTGGCTCATGAAAATTGCTTACCTTCAATGACATTAAGAGTCACAATACAATGATGAATCAATTAAAGAGAGCAAAAGGGACTTTATAAAAAGGATAATTGTTCTGGAGGTTTATTTGACACTTTGCTTCCATGCATAAACTTAACAAAATGTCTTAATTAACTGCATCATAATTCTGTATGCGCTAATGGGCCAGATTTCTACACCTAATTATAAATATTGAATTCCAAATCAGAAGCCAGGAAACAATTTTGAATCAAACTGAATATATAGATGTACTCCTAAGCATATTTTTCTTGTCCTTCCATTTTTCTTTAGTAATCTCACTGATAATTACATGGCATAAATTTCAGATCATGCAACTGCTCTTAGTTTCTGCCAATTTCTTTCAATTCTTATTGCAATATGTAACATGATCTACGTTTATGCTGCTCAGCAGAAATGGTGGAGGCCTTACTCCATGTTGTTTCAAAGATTGGTGCCACATTAACGGAGGAAACCACAAAAGCTGTGATAGCCAAGCTATCAGACAAAGTTTAGAATCTGAAGGAATTACAAGAGAAAGTTGAGGAAATAGGGAAAGAATTTAAGATGATGAGTACTGTTGTAAAGCAATTTAGTACACCAGGTCATAGCAATGAGCTTGTTAAAGACTGGATTGGAGACGTGCGGGATTTGGCCCACCGTGTTGAGGATGTAATGGATAAATATTCATATCATGCTCTTAAATTGGAGGAAGAAAATACCATGAAGAAGTTCTTCTCCAAAGCTTATTATGTCACAGTTTTCAGTGAGATTGCTGACGAGATTATCCAGATAGAGAAGAAAATTGAAAATGTTGTGAAGCGGCGAGATCGATGGCTGCAGCTGCCACACCTTATTCCTAATCCACTTGCTGACATTGAAAGAAAACAACCGCATAGCAATTTCCAGGAAGTTGTACAAGCTGATATTGTGGGGATTGAAGACAACAGGAGACAGGTGACTGAATGGCTGTACTCTGACAAGTAAGGTAGCACAGTGATTACAGTGTCTGGTATGGGTGGACTGGGAAAAACCACCCTGGTCGCAAATGTGTATGAGCGGGAGAAGGTCAACTTCACCACTCATGCTTGGATTGTTGTGTCTCAGACCTATGGTTTGGTTGATTTGCTGAGAAAAATGCTTAGGAAGATTGGGGACCAAGAGCATTCACAGCTAATGGATTTGGATACCCATGACTTGGAAGTAAAAATAAAAGAAAGGTTATCAGGTGGAAACTGTTTGCTTGTATTAGATGATGTCTGGAATCGAGAAGCATACACTCAGATAATAGATGTATTCCGGAATCTCCAAGCAAGTAGAGTTATAATCACAACACGACAGAAACATGTGGCTACACTTGCTCAACCAAGACATCAACTCAAACTCAAACCATTGGAACACAATGATGCATTTAATCTTTTCTGCAGAAAGGCTTTCTATAACTGCATGGAATGCAAGTGCCCTCAGAACCTTGAAAAGCTGGCTAAAGCTATAGTGGATAGATGTCAAGGCCTGCCACTTGCAATTGTATCCATAGGTGGTATGATGTCTTCACTGCCAGCAACAGAATACGTCTGGAACGAGACGTACAACCAACTTCGTGGTGAGCTGGCAAATAATGATCATCTTCGTGCAATTCTAAATCTGAGCTACCATAACACACATGGAGAACTGAGGAATTGCTTCTTGTATTGTGGTCTCTTCCCAGAGGATCACGAATTCTCACGAGAAAGCCTTGTGCGGCTGTGGGTTGCAGAAGGTTTTGCATTTCCAAAAGAACAAAGCACAGCAGAGGAGGTGGCTGACAGATATCTCAGAGAATTGATTCAAAGAAATATGCTGGAAGTTGTGGAGAATGATGAGCTAGGCAGGGTTAGTACCTGCAAGATGCATGACCTTGTGCGAGACCTGGTGCTTTCTATTGCCAAAGAGGAAAAGTATGGTTCCGCCATTGATTTTTCAAGCATGTCCCACATGGACAAGGATGTTCGTCGCCTGTCGTCATGTGGATGGAAAGACAAAAATGCAGTAAAAGCAAAATTCCCATGTCTTCGAACCCTAGTGGCACTTGGAATAATTGTATCACCTTCTCAGTTGTTATCACCAATTTTATCTGAATCCCACTATCTTACTGTTCTTGAGCTGCAAGATTCTGAAATAACCGAAGTGCCAGCATCCATAGGAAATCTGTTTAATCTGCGCTACATTGGTCTGCACCGCACAAGGGTCAAGTCACTCCCAGAGTCTATCGGGAAGCTCTCAAACCTCCTCACTCTGGACATCAAGCAAACAAAAATAGAGAAGTTGCCATGAGGGATTGTCAGGGTCAAGAAGCTGCGGCACCTCCTAGCTGATAGATATGATGATGAGGAGCAGTCAAAGTTCCAGTATTTCATCGGAATGCAAGCACCAAAACAGCTATCCAATTTGGAGGATCTGCAGACTCTTGAGACCGTGGAAGCGAGCAAGGACTTGGCTGAGCAGCTAGCGAAACTTACAAAACTACAGAGCGTGTGGATTGACAAAATACATGCTGTTGACTGTGCAAATCTTTTTGCTGCACTTTCCATGATGCCACTTCTTTCTAGCTTGCTACTCTCTGCAAGTGATGAGAACGAGGAACTTTGCCTGCAAGCTCTCAAGCCAGAATCTGATAAACTCCACAGGTTGATAATCAGAGGGTGTTGGGCAGACAAGACATTAGAGTGCCCGATATTTCTTGACCATGGCAGAAATCTAAAGTATCTAGCTATAAGCTGGTGTGGACTTTAGGACGACCCATTCAAGTTGCTTGCTCCATATGTGCCGAACCTACCCATGGCATCGAATTCCTTCGCTCTCTGAAGAAGCTATGGCTGTTGGATCTGCACCAGGACTTCAAAGCTCAGTGGAATATGAAAGGAATGCAGCAGAAAATGCAGTATGTTCCAGAGCTCCGCATCTAAAAGTGGGACTTAGGTTCCATATGCGTGGGCATTAATTCATGGCATATCTACTTGTAAGTACTATGCAAATTGTTCAGTCCTCAATAAGCCATTGGTTGTTGGCATTGTCAGTAAACCTGCATCTATAATATGTTCTAGATTTGCAATGCTCCAATAAACCATTAAATTTGTCACTGTTTTGAAGTTGTAGTGTGGTTTTCGGTTTGTAGTTTGATTCCCATGCAAGAACCTGGACCTTGTGTACTGAATTGCATAATGTAATAAATTATTCATCCTGTGACTAGATTCAATCTCTTCCAGATCCAATAATTGAGAAACACTGCAAGATTGTTCCATAAAAGTCCTTTGTACAAACAGTTTTCTGAAATACAGCACGAAGGGTGCCATAAAATCAGCTTACGGTCGAGCCTAACTCCACATGAATCCAATGAGAAAAAGCAAAAAAATAAATAAATGCTCGGTTGACAGGGTCAGGCGGCGAAATGCACATTGATTTTTGGATAATTGTATCAGGTTTAGGCATATGGTCCGAGTAATTAACTGATTGAGCACACAGCCCCAGCAACTATATAGCATACAAATGGTTCTTGTGTCCTACACCACTGCATTGAATGTTAAAAAGCTATGTACCAACAAGAGAAAAACTGATTGGATGCAACATGTGCAACAGCAGGCACTGAACCCCTATGATAAATCGATATCAGCACACTGGCAAATATAAAGGGAACTGCACTAGAAACAAACGGCCACATCGTATGAAGCTCGGCGAAGTTACCAACCTGATTTTCGGAGTGGCACAAATCTTCGAAGGTTAGCCGCGCCGCTGCCGGGTAGAGGGGGGTAGGGGGCTTGCCACGGCCGCCGCCGGCGTTGCGCCGAATGCGCAGGAAACCAACCCAAACGGGGAGGAGGGGATGCCGCAGACAGGTTCCACGGAGACGGGCCTTCGCTTGAGGCCCAGCTCAGCTCGGCGACAGGCACAGGAGACAGCCCAGTGTTTCCCCTCTCGTGTGTTTCCTGAGCTTTCCTCTCGGCCCGAGAAGGAGCAACTGCTAGGCCTTGGGTTCAGCGCAGTTGTGGGCTTGTGGCTGCAAGAGTTTGACTAAGAAAAACGTCCACATTACCTCTTTCTCAACTTTCGTAAAAGTCCGTTTTTCCTCCCTTAACACTAAAATTGGGCAAAACACCCCCACAACTTTTAAAACCATTCATTTTACCTCCCTGACCCTGTTATAAGCGGTTTTAAAAGCGGTTTTGTCTTTTCTTTTTTATTTATTTCGACTGAATTTTTGAAAAATCATAGTAAATCACAGAAAAATCATAAAATGAAAAATCTAATTTTATTGGACTCCACATGAGTAGATCTACACAGTGAATATATAATATGGTATGCTTTAGTACAAAGTTTTTACTATGGCTTTAGATCTATATTTTTCTGTAATTAATTGAAATAATTCATAGCTGCAGTTTTTATGGTCCAATTGTGATGAAATTTTTATGGTGGATTAATTATTGTATGATTGAACTGTAGTAAAAATTTTATAGTCATTGGACCATGTATATCTTAGTTATAGATTTATTTATATTTAACAAGCCTAAACCTAAATAAAATCTATAACTAAGTTATACATGATCCAATGAGTATGAAATTTTTACTACAATTTAAGTATACAATAATTAGCCCATCATAAAAATTTCACTATAATTGGACTACATAAACTGCAGCTATGAATTATTCCATTTACTTATAGAAAAGCATAGATCTAAAATTACAGCGAAAACTTTATAATAAAGCATACATATTATATGTTCGCTGTGTAGATCTACTCACGCGGAGTCCAACAAAATTGGATTTTCTATTTTATGATTTTTCTGTGATTTACTATGATTTTCCAAAGATTCAACCGAAATAAATAAATAAAAAAGACAAACCTGCTTATAACAGAGCCAGAACGGTTTTAAAAGTTGAAAAAGGTGTTTTGCCTGATTTTAGAGTTCAAGGAGAAAAAACAGACTTTCGTGAAAGTTGAGGGAGGTAACGTGGATTTTTTCCTTTGACTAAAAATCATCCAGTTTTTAAAAACCCGCAAACATTTTATACTGAAAGCAAAGAGAATTATAACAATCCTGATTGGACATAAATAAATATTATATAAATTATAATAAAGTTATAAAATCAAGGATAGAGTAACGGTGAGGAGGATTGGAAGAGAAAGCCTGAAATGAAAGGAGCAAAAGAAAGAAGAGGTTGAGGAGCAACAAGGTATGGAACAAATACAAGCACCGGTTCCTTCACATATGGCATGATGAATCATAGTCACTTTGGTGGCATCGCGGCAATTGTTTAACTAAATAGAAACATAATTCGTTTCACTAAATGCATCCACGGGCTATTGAACTCTCTTATCAACAGGCATGTATCATGAAAAAAAAAACGCATTAATACAATAACTAGAAAAATATAAGCCCCCGTGCCAAAAATAGGTGGACAAGTTCTACCACATGGAACCCAACTTTTTTATGAATATGGAGGGACGAGGCCCCTACGGTTTTATATTAAAGTAAAAACCAGGAAGAGTTTACAACAAAGTTCAAGAGACAAAAAAGAAAGGAAAAAAATGCTATCATTTTTCTGTATTATAACCAATTTTGGATCCATGAACGAAAACTCTCCGAGCAACATTCCTTTACTCTGAATGAAGTTAGGGCCATCTCTTTGTTGAAGGCTCTTCTTGTAGGATTGCAACTCAGGTCCTATCCCATTTTGAAAATTAAATCATTTCGGGCTGTCCAGATAGTCCAACAGTTAAAATTCAGAGTTACATATCCAACACATGGAACCCAACTAAGTGAGCTAGTCTAGTCCGCAGCATAATACAATTGTTACTTGAGTTCTTTTTTCCCCCTCAAACAACGTAGGAGATTGCATGTCATTTTATTAAGAAGAAACGAAACATCAGTAGTTGTGTGTACTGGAGGACTCTTAGGGAAAGAAAAGCACTTTCCTCTCTCACTCCAAGTACAAGGGAGAAAAAACTAACTCCCACACCCATCACTTAAAACCACAAAAAAGAAGAAGGAAAAAACACCCCAAGCACAATATTCGGCTTACCCCATATTCGGCTTGTTCGGCTTGTTTTTTCAGCCGGAACAGTGTTTTTCTCTCACAACAATTCAGGCGGAACAGTGTTTTCAGCCAGTTTCAGCCAAGATTCAGACCAGCGAACGGGGCCTAAAACAGTACACGTTAAGTCATGTATGCTTATGAGCCAAAGAAACGCTCATTAAGAGCAAAGGCTCCAGCTATGATGCACCACAAAACACTTTCATTAGCCACATCTTGTAGAACCAATTGGACATTTGGAGGAGCTTGTTCAAACATGCAAGCATTATGATGCTTCTATATTTTTCAAGCGACCAAAATGAGTTCTTCCAAAGTAATGTTACTCACCCGTCTCTTTTATGTCAATTTATATAAGTTTTTTCCTAACATATGTCGGACAGACACTATGCCATCTTCTTGTTTAGCAGAAAGATTGCATTTTAGGAGTTTAGTGAACTAGATGACACCTGTACCAAGTTTAGGGGCTAGTTTGACATTGCTGATGCCAGCGTAGACCGCCATGTCAGCAAACATGTCTACTTTGGACCTGTGACGTACTGTGTGCCTAGTTTAGGGTTCTGAATATGCATTTCGGGAGTTTTGGAACCTAGATGATACCCTCTACCAAGTTTAGGTGCTGCTAGTGCATTTACTCTTGATGTCCTTAGGCTAACCAACTTCGTGCCACGTCTGCATGCTCAAGCTTGCCCTTTGTAAGCACGTGATCGCCTCCTGATTCTTGAGCCCCAAAAGTCTCCAGCCTAGTTCCTAGGGCTTCAAGTAAACTTCATGTGTGCACCCAGCCAGGGGCAGAGGGTAGTGGAGGCCAAATGGAGCCTCTCCTATGTTTAGAAATTCAATGACCCATAAATCTCTAGCAGTCTGAACTACACGTCTATCTAGACACTGTTTATTTGAGCTTCTCGCCACTTTTAGACTACTAGCTTTTACACTCACAAAAGCCAAACAGCTCCTAAAAGCTAAAAGCCTACAAGCTCAAAAGCTGAAGCCCAAAACTCTCAGGGAGCCCAAACAAATTATAGGCCCTTAATATCTCACCATGATTTGATGCTGAAGTGAGCAATTTAGCGCCCCCACCCTCCCCCCCAATTCATGGGCCACGCTGATCTTCACGCACAAAGCGTGGCCCTGTGATATCTTTCTCCATGCATGGGTGCCTTTGCACACGGAGCGTCCACCTTTCATAGTCCCCCTTCCTTCGACGACTTGCCAAGGACTTTAAATAAAAAAGAGTTACCAACGATCAGGCGGACTACATGAGTGTATGATCATGGGAGGTGGCTCTTGGAAGGTACGGGTCCCTACAATAAACAGGATATGTTTTTTTGTTGTTGAAAAATACTAGATGTCATGGGATAGAACTATATGTAAATGACTATGTCAATCATATCAATTTGGGATAAGGCATAACATAATACGGGTAGGAATACATTAGGTGACAGGTATTTTCGAATTATTTGGCTCTTTCATAATATAGATAGATATAGACTAGGAAACTGTTATTTAAGTTGCATCTGCCGCCGGGCGGCGGGCCACTCATGATTGATAATGTATGTCAACCGTCCTACAGGGGCAGGTTCAACTAACCATGCCGTCCATTTCCATTTCCATTTCCATCTATTTAACCCCGTCAGGTTGTTGTCTGTTTCAATCAATCCTAATAATCATCATCAGACTAGTGTACATCGAGGTCGCAGCAATGT